CGTGATGGCAAGTTTCCACATGATAGGAGGCCAACAGCAAGGTTCCAATAACGTCCACAACTCCCTGGTCTCCAATGTATGTATGTATGTATGTATGTATGCATGTATGTATGTAAGTATGTATGTATGCATGTATGCATGTATGCATGTATGCATGTATGCATGTATGTAAGTATGTGTCTGTATATGTATATATACATATATATGTATATATACATATATATGTATATGTATATATATATGTGTGTGTATGTATATGTATATGTACATGTCTACGTCTACGTCTATGTCTATGTCTATGTCTATGTCGATGTCGATGTCGATGTCGATGTGTATGTGTGTGTGTGTATGTGATGTGTGTATGTACATATGTATGTATGCATGCAAGCATGCATGCATGTATGTAGATGTCCATACATATATGTCTATATATATATATACACTCAATACCTATGCATACATACAATGTATGTAGCGAAATATGCCATATCTGTCTATCTCTATACAGTATATACAGTTGTCTTGACCAACAACCATCATTTCGCAGAGGTCTAACTTTAAGCGGTGTCGGGACCAGACGACTTATGCCACCAAGCCATGAGCCCATGTAACTTTATGGCAATGCTTCTCCACGCAGCCTAGTTGCAAGTCTTTCTGCAAGACAGGCTTTATCTTCTTGCAGATGTCGGAGCGCGGAACGAGGAGGGCGACACGCCCATGAAAGCTGACGTCAGGGAACGTCCTTGGATCTGGAGTAGGCCAACACAAACCATAGACTTTCGAGGCTCAACCACGGACCACAGACAAAAGCTTGAATATAAGACGGTTTTTGAAAGCCGAGATTCTTTGAAACATGCCAGAGTGCTTTGATGACATGCTCCGCATACACCTTGAGCAGGTCCTTTCCAACCTTGGTGGCCATTAAATCCTGTACCCCTACACCAGATGTGTCGGTAATGAGGTGGTAGTCTCCCAGCACGAACACCAACCAGGATTCCAAGCCACTGCAAGAACAGCTAAGCTGCTGGGTCGAAGAGGAAGGTCTTCAGTGGCGGTCCGTCCGATCCCAGGGAACTCGCTGCGGCATCTCGCTGCGTGTTCAGCTGAAACCTCGGATGCAGAAAGAAGTTGAAAAGCAACAGCAACAGGCACTGTCTGATCTTGCGGGCTCGCACAACAAAACAGACCGGTTGGAAGCACAGTACCTGTTGAGGCAGGGAACGTGGCTGCACCTGCAACAATGCGTTTAGTGCTGCGGACCACCTCCGACAGTTTCACCCTGGCCATGTCGGGATAGGTCCTTGGTTCGGTGGCGGCAGTGGTGGAATCCACCAAGCATGCATCACTTTTTTGGCGGGATCATGGCATGAGCCTCTTCACATCTGTCTACCGTAGCCGAAGATTTCCGGCTCAGGGCTATTTAGGCTTGAGGGTTTCGGGTTGAGGGATTTCGGGTTTTGGGCTCTTGACAGCGTCCGAAGGTCTGGCTCACCGAAGCAGACTGCGACTCATCTGACAAGAGCAGTCGGCGCTCTGCCGATAGGCTTGGGAGTAGCGTCGAGCTCATTTCCTAAGCGTTGCACGCATTCCCAATAGCATCTAGAAGCCAGAACTCCTAACAACAAATGCGATGACAAAAAGCGCACCCTGGTGGATCGCCAGGCGACTTCAGGCGGAAGACAGAAGATGTGGTGGCTTTCATCGTAGACCACCATGTCACACTTTTCTGCGTCGGGTCCGGCCGCACATCGGAGTATCCGATCACCCTCCAGAGAGGGCAGCTGGAAGTGTGTGTAGGGCCTGTGCAACAGAGTGATCCTGGAAAGCATGTGCTCGATCCTGCTTTGCACGAGCTCTGGCTCGCGGTGATTCTTTCCTAGGCTGTCTTCCACGGCTCAACTAAAACCTTCACATTGAGGAACCCTCTGTTGTCATTGGTTTTTGTGCCGAAGTTCGTGATGCAAGTCGCATGGAGAGCCAGCGAATGAAGTGGAGGCCGAGGCTTTCGGAGGGAGCGACGTAGAGCAGCCGGGCTGAGGGATGGGTGTTGAGATGCTCGAGCACGTGCTGCACCGCAACGAAGGTCTTTCCCGCACCCGCTGGGGCAGAGAGGTGAACGTTGTCGAGGCCCTCCATCTCTTTCAGCTTCACCTGGATCGCACTTTGCAAGGTTGTCTGGGAACTAACTAGCTGAGCTGCTATTTGCTTCCAGGTTCAACCGTGATGCGACCCCGATTTAGCCAAGCCTTTTTTCTGTCACGGCCTGACTCTTTACTACTTAGTAGGATCCTTCTTATGATCATGCACGGGGTTGCTTGATTAGAAGAGTCCTTACTACCGGTGCGCTCCACCTTCTGATGCTCGGTCATCTCCTTCAATCCCAGGAGGCTATCCTCGTAGAGCTCGAAGAGCCGGCTCTTGTCAAACTTCACCTTGAACTCCTGAGCTCTGGCTGTCTATGGCAGATCTCTTCCGGGCACATTCTCGTTTATCAATGGGGCCCAAAGAGAAACTCCAACCACACAACGAGAAACCCTAAGCCCTTAAACCCCTAAACCCGAAACCCGAAACCCCTAAACCCTAAACCGGAAAAAGCGGAGACCCCTAAACCCCCACACCCTAAACCCGAAATGCCCTAAATCCCAAGACCCTAAAGCCTAAGCCCTAAACCCCAAACCCCCAAACCCTAAACCCTAAATCCCCAGATCCTAAACCTTTAACTGGGTATGAGGGAGAGAGTGCACCAGCGTGAGCGGCAACACCCCTCCCGTGAGTCCACGTGCTTCAGCGTCCCGTCTTGCGGCTTCTGCGCAAGGCTCGTCCTAACTGACTCCGCTCAGAATCAGTAAAGCTACGCCAGCAACGTTGCAGTTCGGACGACGGTATCTCGCAGTCCTGTACAGTAGCGAACAAAGGCAACGTGCTGTGGTCTTGGAGCACTTGTACTAATAGTGGTCCCGTGGCCTGTACAGTGGGCAATCTGGGTCGGATGCTCACGCCAATTCTGGGTGGTCCCTCTTGCAGTGAACGTAACGAGAAGACTTTGCCACGTCGTGCCGGAAGAAGACGGTGTCCACTAAGTCTCTCCAGTTGCCGCACGGCCTCCACAAAGCAGAACACGACTTGCCGCAATGTACACGGGACGTCCACTCGTTTGGGGGGCTTGTCCAGCACACGAGCTGCTGCAAGCTCGTGTGGTGGGCAAACCTTTGTTGAGGCAACGAAATCCACCACCAGTTCCAGATATGTAGCGCCTGTCACCGTTTTCTTACGCAGCGGCTGCAGGGACCACTGGAGACGAGAAAGCCAGTCCCAGAGAGGTACGGTGAACCATGGTGGCCAAGAGCAGGCCAGTAGCCATTCTCTGGATCTGGAGGCCACCGGGACTTGCCAGGTCTGAAAGGGGCCGGCATCTTGCTGTTCCCACGCCGACAAGCAGGAAAGTCGCGAGAGCCCCTGATGGTCATCTTGTGCAGGGGCGCCATGCGCCTTGACCTCCTTCGCAAGCTGGCGTAGCAATCGGCATTCTTCCTGGGAGACCTGCAGTAGATAGCGCCAGAATAGCCAAAGCAGGTCCCGCTGCTCAGCAAAGAAGTCCGCTGCATTTCCTGTGATTGCTTGAACCACTGGGAATTCCCTTTGGAGTGCTGCTCTGGCCGCTGTGTCCACCACGTGGTTACCAGCGGCGAGCCACTGCTCCAGTCCCCACAGTGCATCAAGATTTTGGTGGGACGAAACCTTGTGAACAGTGATGCGCACCGAAGCAACCTGTTGCAGCTCTTCACCCAAGTCAGGCCACGTGGCAGTATAACCAGCAAGAGCGCGCTGCCACTCCGACATGGCAAAGGTACTGTCGGTCCAGATTTCAGCGGACAGGGCCCCAGACGAACTCGCGAGCCGGGCAGCTTGTAGTAACGCAATGGTCTCCGCCCTGTTGATGCTCTGCACCCCCGGGACCAGACCCTGGTCAACCACGTGGAAACTGGTGGGTAAACGTCCATGTAGGCGCCACTGTTGGAGGAGGGTCGGGATCTCGGCATCACTTTCTGATCCAGGACCACGGCCCATGCGGCTCGGCTCGCTTCAGGCAAATGGGGGCTGGAGCAAGAACCATCAGTGAACAGGCGTAGGCACTGTCGCTGTCTCAGTAAAGGTTTCAGCCCAGCAGGAAAGACCGGTGGCAGGAGTTTCCGTGTCGCAAACACGAGGCGGCTCACCTCCAGATCAGGAGCCATGCCGGCATACGGCCCATGCAACCAATGCGGCCACATGCGCAGCGCAACGGATATGTGAGGTTCCCATTGCTGGCGTATGCTGGAAAGGGCAGGGCACTCCAGAAACTTATGGGCCTTCGTTTGCTTGGCACCGCAAAGTGGGCACTCGCCGTCCTCGCACTCGTCCCATTGCGCCCGTGCCTGTGCAGAGGCAAAAGCGCCTGTGATGTGGCGAGCAATCACACCTTGCTCACCTGCCGCGAGTTTTGACAGCAGTTGGCCAGTGGCATGGGGCAAAGGTGGGGGGGCCGCGTGGAGGCCGTTTCTGTGTTGGACACATTGCTGCACCTGGAGGCTCCATGCACGTTCAAGTAGACCTCGGACCTCTTTCCGGCTGCAGGAGGACAAATGAACCCGACTATTATCCGGACCCTTGACACAAGCATCATCGTCCATGGAGAGGCCCAAACGCTGGAACGTAACGGCCAGAGCCGTAGCAGGGCCATGCACCTGCCTCACTCCACCGCTTGCATTGGTGAGGGCAACAACGGAGCAGGCAGTGTACGTATCTCCCAGGCAGGCTCGGCGGAGCGCAAGGAGCTGTTGTTCGGCACAGTAAAGTTGAGGGTCCTGCACACAGTCCGTAAGCGTGCCCAGCGCCAAGTGGGGCGAGAGGATGCGGTAGTCGCCTGTGATGGCGCGGGCTGCTTTGCCTCTCAAGGATTGCAAGTCGGCAAGCGAGAAAGCATGTCCTTCACTGCCATACAAACATTGGGGCCAGATGCCCCGTTGGATCAAGGAGGCCTTTTCGAGCACGGACCGGGGTTGCTGACGCAGCCTCTCGAGGCGTTGGGCGCCTTCCTCCAGACGGTGGTTACGGGCAACCCGGTGTATACGACCATCGTACTTATAGGCGATTCCCAAGTCCTTGGCCTCGCTAACAAGAGGTACGGGGCAGTCCGGCGGGAAAAGGTTCGGCCGGACTCTTTGCCACCACAGTCGGTCGGGGCGTTGAGTGGCCCACAGGTAGGACTTTTTCCAGTCTATCGGGAGACGCAGACTGTCCAGGAAGCGCAATGCCTTCGGCACTGCTGCTTCAACTGCTGTGGTCGATTCACCCGACCACGCCCAGTTATCAACGTAAGAGTCGAAGTCAACACCATCAGTGGCACAGAGGTTATGAGCCCAAAAGCATAGGCCGGCCATGGCGGCAACGGAAAAGGGGTCTCCCTCGGGTGCACCGTTATAGCACCTGATGGCGGGGCCAAGGTCGCCCAGAAAGGCGGAGCGGCGCTCCATTTTTGACAGACAAGTGAACCAGAACTCCAGTACGTCCCTGGGAAGGCCCAAAGCGTGAAGCATATGGTAAAGTGGGGCCCATCCGAGCTGATTGAAGCATTTGACAATGTCAATGGACAAACCCAGTCGCGGGCGTTTATGCACCAGGGCACATTCAATGGCGTGTTGCTGGCGGTAGCTGAGGTCACGACTGGAGCGGCCCGGGAGGGACCCAGCAATATTCTCCGGAAAATGCGGGGCCCACTCTTTCAACACCTTACGGGTGAGGCAGGACGACCAGACGCGGTACAGGGTGCTGTAGATGGTAATCGGGCGACTCTGCCGAATGTTGTCGGGAGCAAACACCTTGGCAAGCACGCTCACCCGAGCCTGCAGCATATGTGCGGGCATGCCGACCTGAACTGCACGTGCAAAGATGAGTTGCAGCACTTCAATGGCTTCTGCCGGTAGAAGTTTCAGGTCACTGACGGCCCATCCGCAGACACCTGTGGCCTTCCTGCTTGACATCCGCTTGATAGCGTCTCTCCAGATGTCCGGAGAAATGGAAGACAAAGAGACCGGGGGCAGTGAGATGTTGGCGCCGGCAACCAGTTCCCCAAACTCGGGCCAATGGTCGAGACTTGGTGCCGTGGCTTGGTCACGTTGCCACAAAGGACTCCAGAAGTCGGAGAACACGCGGTGGAGTTCATTGGCGGTGCAAGCCACCGAATCCTGGACCAACAAGCCGGGCTGAAGTGACTCGCCGTGCAGAAGGACGTGATCGCCAGCCACATCCATCACATGGCACTCGGTTTGGTCAAGACGGGCAACCGCCCCAACTCGGAGGGAAGGTCCGGGCACAAACTTGAACCAGCTGTGTGCGGGGGCGCAGGCCTGCTAGTGGGAGACAGCTGCACGGAGACCTGGCAGGGGACCTCAGTAAAAGGAGGCGGGGTCGGTCCGCGTATGGTCTGAAAGGCACCACGGTGATGCCCATGTTTCTGGTCCAGCACAAGTTTGTATTTGAAGGAGTCCCGTCTTATCTTGGCCTGGGAACGGGCAAAGGCATTGCAGTCAAACTGCAGATAGGCCAGCAGATCCGACAGCCAGTCAGGGGGCGGCAGGGCATCCGGGAAAGTGTGGAAACAAGCAATCTGGAGTGTCCAGGTCACGAAATCAGGCGGGAAGCCCTTGGCTTTGCGGAACGCACGCCACTCACTGGTAAGGTTAGTACGCAGCTGCTCAGCCTCAGCGCTGGAGGTGGTCCGATGCAGCTTGAGAAGGCCTCGCAGAAGTGTCTGGGCTCTGCGGACCTGCCGCACACGCATATGGCCCTGTACGCTCGTAACCTCCTCATCGGGCGTGTAGTCGCCGGCACGGGCTGGACGGACAACACTGGGAACTGTCCGTTGCACAATTGGTCGGTCAACACAGCGGCCTCGATAAGCCTTGGGGAGGCAACGGTGCGGGTACCTCAGCGGATCCTGTGCATGCTGACGGGAAAGGGCAGTGTCCACACAATCCTCGACGCTCTGGGAGAAAGCGAGCAGAGTTTGGGCGACCTCTTGCTCCGAGGTGCAACTTTGGGCCTGCCTGGCCAGTGCAGGCGCAACTGATTGAAAGGCAGCCTGGAGCGCCGCAGGTTCAGGCGACAAAGACGACCATGCGCGAGGTAAGTTCCAGCTGCGCCGAGTGGGTTGATGCGGGCACACTTGGAGCCGGAAACATAGGGGGTCATGGCTGTCGAAGAGGTGCGACTTGTCAAGCACCCAGGCGGAGTGCCACAGGGGCAGCAGGGTAGGGTGAAGCAGAGCAGTGTCATGGCGTGTGGCCCCTTTACACGTGGGTGGTAGGGCCGTACCAGTGGTACGCTCATGAAGCTCAAAGATTTCCCGGTAGCCCAACGAGTGCAGCTGAGCCCCACTTGGTAGTTCCAACACTGGGCAGTTGAAATCGCCTGCAATTATGGTCGGAACACAGTTGCTGGTGGCACGCATCAGCACCTGAGACATCAAGTCTTCAGTCCTTTCCCTGGCGTCAGGATAGGACAGCGGGTAGCCGTAGACAGTGAGCAGGCGGACTTCCAACACCCCCAGACGGATAAAGGCCTCCCCGATGCGGCAAGTGGCCAATGTGGCAGGCGCCAGCGCGGGGGATGCGGCTCTGCACGGCAAACGCGAAGTAACGGCGACGCCAGCCGCCAAACCGCGTAGGCAGACTTTGTCAGAGCCCTCACGTTGGTGGGACGGAACGGGTGCCCCCCAAATGGTCTTAAAGCCGTGCTTGCGAAGCTGGTGGCCCACCAGGCCTTGTACTTGCGAGACGGCGGAAGTCTCAGAGAGGCAAATGACATCTGCAGCAGTTTCCAGGAGAGTGTGGGTTTTGTGGAGAATGCTGGTGGGGTTCACCACCGCAATGACACAAGAGTCGGACGGTCTCTCGGCCTCCGAGAGCGCAGCCGTAACAGTGTTGCGCACCGGTGGTCGCCGTGGACGGCTATGGCAGTAGCGCACAGCGCCCTGAGCGTGTAATGGGCCGGGGCTCGCGGGGAAAAAATTGCGCAGGTCCTGCTGGACTGTGGGGCCTGGTCGAGTATGGGCACTAGCGGCACTGGCAGCCGGCAGGTCCCGAGGCAGGTGGTGGGGAACCGAGAAGTATGAGCCCAAATTGGTCTGCCGTGATGGGCCAGGATTCTTTGCCTCACCCACTCGCTGGCCCAAGTACCGGGGAAACGACCTCCGGTTGTGCAAAGGGAAAACGAGACAAAGCCATAGGCAGGATTGTCGCAACACGGGGGGACACCGTTGTTGGGCCGTCTGCCAAGTCTCGTTATTACTTGCAGCGGTAGTCCCCCAGCAAGAGGCAGATGCACCGCAGGATGTGAGGACCTGGTCGAGCAGATCCCGGTCACCAGAGCACAAATGCAAGGCAACTGGCTGAGGTGGCAGGAGGTGGCGCGCGAGGCGCGGCTTGGTACAGGAGGCAACAGAGATGTTCTGGAGCAAGGGGGAGCACGGTGGGGCCCTGTCGTGACAGGGTGTTGCAGCCCACGGCTGGCTCCACAGACAATGCAAAAAGCAGGAAGGAACGGAACGAGGCGGAAGAGCCTGGAACGGGTAATCAGTACAAATCCCCGGGGCTATCTGCGCAGGGACTGGGGTCCACGCACATGTGGTATCCTGCTTGGAAAAAGGACAGCAACAAATGGTCCGGGCAGGGCAGGAGACAGTGCGGCGAAAGCTGAAAGCGCACCCATGCCAAGGAAGGGGCTCGCCGTAATCCACGAGGCCTTGTACAGAGGAAAGACAATGGGTGGCCACAGTGGCGGAATGCGGGATTGCGGGGACAGGATCACACAGGCGGATGTTTAGCGGGCCAATACCCCGAGGCCCAAGGTCAGTACTGACAGTGATGGTGCCGAGGAGCGTCTCCGAGTTTCTAAACCAAGAACAGGATTCACACACCGGGCGGCCGGCAGCACGCGGTTCAACTTGCTGTGGGCACGGTGGTGACAGAGTGCATGCCCAATGGCCACCCCAGCACTCGGGAACAGAGTTAGAAGCTAGCGCATCCGAGTACAACAGATGACTTTGGCTGCTGCCGTCAGGCAGGGGAAGACAAATTGCGGCAGCGGCGCCCAGGAGGTGCCCTGCAATGCGACCAAAAGCTGACACTTGCGGCCAGCAGATAGCACCTGGCAGAAGTTGAACCCCACCCCCTGTCCAGTGCTGAAAAGGCCCCCTAGGGAGCGCAGCGCTCCCGAAACGAAGTTTGCAGAGAGGGAGTGACGACAGTCACAGTTCATCAGCGCCATGGAGGCGGGGTTTCTTGTTCTCAGCCTGAGCCAGCAAGAGGGCCTTAAGTTCGGCCATACCATGGTTCATCTGCTGCTCCTGCTGCACCTGTGCAGTCCGAAGGCTGTCTATGCTAGACTGAAGCTGCTGCTGCAAACCTGCTCCTAGGCCCTGCACTTCGCCTCGAACACTGTGCATCTCCTGAGAGAGGTGGTGGCGATCCTGCTGCCACTGCTGATGGGCTTGCTGTTGTTCATCACGCAACAGAGAGAGACTCTGTTCTAACGCAGCAATGCGGTTGTCTTGCTCCTGGAGGCGGGCTGTGGCAGGTGGGTCAAGGCCGGCTGGAGGGGCCAGGACTTGAACGGGTGCAGATGGAGCAGGTGTCTGAGAGGCACGGTAGGTACTCCAAGGATCACTCTCCAACCAGGGATCTGCATCAGAAGACTTGGGGCCGTCACGCGTGTCCTTTTGCGGTGGCCGTGGGACGGAGCCACCCGCCTGCACAATCGGTGCCTGCGTATCCCGGTTCTTGACCTCAGTAATCAAGACAGCGGTATCGTTGAACCGGGCGGTGCATGTTGGAGGAGGTGTCGGCGCACCGACCAACCAAAACCTGGGGCCGAGACTCTTCAGAACCTTGATCTGCCAGGGCAGTTGACAGGCCCATTCAGTCAGTGCCTCAGAGGGGGCGGCAGGTGGGAGAGGGCCGACCTTGAAGAGCAATTTGGCGTCAATGGTGGCCGGCACGGGCTCCCCGGGTCGCAACTGCTTGAACAAGGACTGGAAAGCATGTGTGCCCACGCGCAGTCCGTATCGCGACTTGCCACGGACCAGACCGTGCTGACCTGGCACAAGGAGGGCCTGTTTCTCCACCTCGGCGCGACCGCTTTTCAGCCAGATGACGGACCAGTCAGGTAACAGCTGGCGGTCCCAGGTGCGGGGGACAACGTACACGAAGTTGAAGCCACTACTCTGCAGCACCTTACTAAGGGTAGGGCCTGGCACCTTGGCATGGAACATGAGCGAATCACAGAGGTGGGGTTGGCACGGGCGCCCATTGCACCGAAAAGAGCGGCCCCATGGCTGGGACAGGGGCTGCGAGATGCCCTGAGACCGGAAACGCTCAGTAACTGCACGAACTGGGGCCTTGACGACCTCCTGCCAGGTGGCATCAGATGGGGCCTCATCCTGATACATCGCAAAGGAACAGCACACAGTATCCGCAAGGGCAACCTGTACCGAGTGTTCACTGTAAGGGTGTATATCCGTCTCACCGACGTTATGAAAACAAGCGGCAAGCAGGTGCTTCTTGCCCGTGCCTCGGTGTTTAACCGGAACATTACAGGCACCAGAGCATGTGTCAGGATCAGGACACCGGTGGCCAGGGACCACCAAGCACAAAGCTTCGGAACACATGTTTTGCAAGAGGGCATTGTCTTGTGCATTGGCAACGGAAGCGTCGACCAACATCACCCCAGAGGCCCCGCGGGAGATGCGTTGCAGCACTGGTACGGGCTGGTTGTCAATGCCACACCAAGTGTCCGGCAGCAATTCAAAGTCCGCAGCGGCAACCGACTCCGCGGCCTGCAATCGGCGGCGCCGTATGGCCTTTTGAATTCGTTGGGCTGCTTTCTCAGTACGGTTGTCCCCGGCAGGCAGGTCAATGCCAGCAGGATGCGCAACTTGGCAGAGGCGCTGAAAGCGAGCAGTGGCATCCGGTAAGGACAACGGCTCCATACACGCGGAGGCACCGAGTTTGCTCACAAGACGGTCCACCGCGACCGTAACCTCCGCCAAAGAAACACCCCGATCAAGCAACAAGGCAGCACAGCGGCTCTTGGCCAACTGGATTTGATCATCCTTATTGCCGCCACCGCGAGTTTCAGGGAAAACTGTCAAGGCAAGAGTACGCTGGGCGCCTTTGGTCTGGACACGGCCTTCGGCCGCAAGTTGTGACACAGGACACTGGCAATCAATCGGGAATGGGCCGGAGTAAACTCTCGCAATCGGCCAGCAGTCGAAACAACGGCACGCATTATGCCAAAATTTAACAAGCTGAGCCGCAGTAAGGTCCGCAGGGACTCGGCCTACCCAGATGACGCGACCCTCAACCTGCAAAGCGACAGGTCCGAACAGGGCACCGTCCGGTTCACGTGCAGCGGCCCTGATCTGTGACAGAAAGAAGAGCTCGCGGAGGTATTGCCTGAGCTGCGGGAGGCCCACAGCATCTGTATGGCCCGTGGTTGAAAAACTGATGCACATAGGCGAGGCCTCAGTGGGGTCGGTGGCTTCTGCTTTCCATCCCAAGCATTCAATAAGGTGGCACGGCAGCTGTAGCCACCAGTCGGTCGCACATTGCGGTTCAACCATCAACTGGAAAGCACCGTCCAGGCATCGGCTTTGGCAGGCGCGGACTTGGGCCCAGTCCAGGGTCGGAGCATTGAAGAGGAGGTCATCAGTCTCCGTGGCAACAAAGCATGTGCCAGGGAATTCCCGGATGTCACTCAAGGGCTCTCCGAAGCAAGTCAGGCAGGTAACTCTTAGCCCATTTTCTCGGCATTTCTCAAAAGTCCAACGAAGCTGGTGCAGCACGTCCGGCACAGACTTGTGAACAAGGACCATCGCACGCGGGGTGCATAGGAGCACCAGGTCAGAGTCAGCAGTCTGACTCATTCCGCCCGCACTGAGGTTCAAGGCGGGGAGCTGAGTAGTTGGGACTTGCAGCACAGTCGCTTGTTTGATCTGTTGTGGGCAGGGCCAGGTAGCAGAGGGTTGGGCACCCAGGCGCTGCAGGGCCCGATCAACAGGAATGTGCACCGACACAAAAACCTGACGAACGCACCGAAAGGCACCCGACTCAATCAAGCCCAGCTGGAGCACATGAAACTTTGCAGGAGGGCTGCGCATGCAGAGCTCAATCTCAGCTCGTAGGGCCCTGTCCGCAAGTACATAGCCCAAATCATCATGCTTAACTCAAAGCCAGCCTTGCCTCACCTTGAGGAGCACGCTGTTGCGGCTGTGCAGGCGCTCATCAATGCACCGGCGGACAACTTCAGCAGGGTCTAGGCGCGTGTGGGGCGCCAGCCAACGCAACGCATTGGAGATCGTCAAGGCCGCTTGTGGGACCGCGAGGGCATTACCATGCAAACGCATGGACTGTTCGTCGTCAATAAGCAGCAGCTGTGTCCTAACCGCTCCGTGGCAGGAAGCGATTTCTGGTGCAGAGAAAAACCGGATATCAGCTCCAGTCGTCAACAAACTGCACAGCAGGCCACCTCTGGTCAGGAGACCTTCGGGTAATTGGTGCTGCCTATGGTAAGCTGCCATGAAGCATTTGGCGCGTTGGTGCGGGTTACATAGGCGAAAGGCTCTGACAGAGTCGACATCCGTCTTTTGCCCAGGGGGCATGTACCATGGGTCAAGGTAGGTCTGTAACAACTCAGCCGAGAGCTGACAGGGCTGTGCAAGGCTACCAGGCAGGACTGGAAAGTATGCACGCATGATCGCCAGGCTGGGGCGAGGCACGGCCTGCCATGTGACGAAACCCTGGGCAGCATCCACGCCAGGACCGGTCTCCTGGTGAATGAGCACAAGCATGAGTCGGCGGCGCCACGTGGGGGCGACGTCGGCTAACTGCAGCATTTCACGAGATACAAGCTGGTATCCGGCCTCGCGCCAGGCCTCCATGACATCAGCAAAGTGTGGATGTACAGCAAAGCCGGCTACTTCTTCTATGCAGACGACAGGTGTGCGAACGACTTGCATCAACGCGGCCACTCGCAGCAACAACCTCCCATCCGGTGTGTCAAGGCCCTGGCCCTTCCCGGGCGTGGCCCAAGGTTGGCACGGAGGTGACATGACTAACATGTGTGGAGCGGCTCGGGTCCAAATGCCATGCCACCAGTCATGTTCAATGTTGGCCATCAGTGCCACAGGGGCAAGTTCACAGTCAACGGCCTCCAGCTCTGTTTTTGTAGATACTGGCTGCAAGTCAGGTTCCATAGCCTGCAGCGGAGGGAAAAGGTGGTCCTCCATTTCCAATATCCAACTGGTGCGAATCGGGACCCCCAATGTGGAAAGAAGCCAGGTAGCCTGAGACCAACCTGCAAATCCACCACTGAACAACTCCGCAACCTGAATAGTTTCACTTTCCTGAAGTACAACGTCAGCAGTCAAGAAGGCCGGCCCTGTCGTAGTGTCCAACACCACCACCTCATCTCGAACCCTAACCCCAGCCCAGAGGGCGCGAAAAGATTGACAATGCTGGCCGAGTGTGTTCCAGTCTGCATACGTAACTCGGAGCACCGCGAGACGCTGAGGGCTGTCTGCCGATAGCACCGAGACTCTGCCGTCCTCAAGCGTTGTCTGAAGTTCCTGAAGAATCCGAGCTCGCACTAGCACAGAATCATCACAGAAAACCGGGGAGCCCTCCTTGCGCAAGTGAAAGCATGCCTGAGTCCCATCAAGATTCCCCACTGCGGTACTGGCAAATGCGAAGAGATTCTTATAATCTTGCCACCATTCTGAAACCATGGCGAAAAGAATGTCACGGCCCAATCTGCAAGGGAGACTTTGTCTCCCTCAACGACCTCGCCCCGAGTAGGCTTGGGCCCAGAGGCTCCTAAACCCTAAACCCTATTCCCCCATTCCCTACTAAGAGCCAGTCAGAGGAGCTCCGGGTCAACTAAGTTACCATAAAAGGGATCTATAGTGAATAATACGGGTTTCCTTATTATGGTAACCTAAAGAAATATCCCCTAATACGGTTTCCTTATTATGGTCACTTAAATAAATATCCCCCAACCAAGAACCCAGAGGAGCTCCGGGTGCAGCAGGACGAGGCCTCTCAGAAACTCCAGGAGGCGCGGCGGTTCTTCGGATCCTGCGCGTGGTTCTAGGGTTTAGGGTTTAGGGTTTTGGGTTTAGGGGTTTAGGGATTTTAGGGTTTAGGGTTTTATGGGTTTAGGGGTTTAGGGTTTTGGGTTTTAGTTTTGGGTTTAGTGTTTAGGGTTTAGGGTCATAGCACGGCACACGAAGGAGTGCAAGAGCATCAGCTTCGACACTCGCATTACAAACCAACTCACTGACAAGCACATAAGCAAACAAACTAACTCTCTAGCTATCCAACTGGGAGCAATCCTTCGTACTCAGACAACCCAAAATCCTAAACCCTAAACCCTAAACTCAAAATCCTAAACCCTAAACCCTAAACTCAAAATCCTGGATGTCCGCAGCACAGCCTGGACTCTTGCAGGTGAGGTGTTTCTTCGACTCGAGGACCCTTGGAGCTCTCCGTACACGGGGTTTATAAGGTTTAGGGCTTTAAGGGTTTAGGGTTTCGGGTTTATAAGGTTTAGGGTTTTAAGGGTTTAGGGGTTTAGGGTTTATAAGGTTTAGGGTTTTAAGGGTTTAGGGCTGATAGGGTTTAGGGCTTAGGGCTGATAGGGTTTAGGGGTTTAGGGGTTTAGGGCTGATAGGGGTTTAGGGGTTTAGGGTTTAGGGTTTAGGGTTGCTTTTCGGCCACCAAAACTCTGAACCCTGCACCCTACCACCCAAATCCGAAACCCCACTCTTTTACCTAGCGTTCAGCGGCCAGCCAAGGATCGAAAAGGCATTCAAACGGCTGCCGATCGAAGTTGTGGGCTTCTAGGCTCCAGCATTTATTGCTTTTCAGTTTGGGCGTCTCGGATTTGGGACAATTCGGATTTCGGGGGTTTAGGAACACTGATGCAGTACCAGACTTCTGTGATTCGGGATCCATGCATCGGGCACCTACCAGATACTGGTGCGCTCGTGCTCATGCTCATGGTGGTGGAGCTGCTGCTGCTGCAGCTGCTGCTGCTGCTGCCACTCTTATTCTTCAGCTTATTAGGATCAATGGTATGATGACTATTCTTGCTACTAGTGCTGCCACCACCACCACCACCACTACCACCACGACGACGACGACGACGACTACTACTACTCCTGGCTGCAGCTGCTACTACAACTGCTGCTACTATCAGTAATGTTAGTACGGTTCATAGGGCGATTCTTGCTTTTACTATCGGTATTATTATGGCATTAAGGTTCTTATGGTGCTATTATTATGATCTGTAATGTCTTTATCATTCTATTCCTTCTTGTAAAGGTCATCATTTCAACAACTAAGGCCTCTTCTAAGGAGCCGACTCTGCTCTTGCATCGTCGCCGGTGCACCAAAGAGTTTTGGCTTTGCCTCGCAAGACAAGAATTAGGGTTTGGGGTAGGTTTAGTTAGGCTTTAAGGCGCCCAGGGGTGTCGGACTCCAGCGGCTCGGACGATGCAGGCGGAGGCTTGTCCAGGTTCGAAGGTGGGTACGTCTGGCCCGGGAGGTCGGCTTACAGCAGAGTCGAATGCAGGCTCCTTGCACAGAAAACCAAGTCGCTACCAAAGGGGTTTAGGGTTTAGGGGCCTTACCGGCTACAAGAAAAATTGATTTCCCGCGTAGCCACAGTGGTAGATGTGGTTTCAACTGTACTTTCTCAGATCTATGAGCCCTTCAACTATGAGTAAGTGCCTTCATGTGTTCAAACGAAATAACAGATGTCAAACATCAGTCTCAGGCCCCCTAGCCCCAAGTCCGAAATCTCTAAACCAGAGATCCTGCACCCCAAACGAGTCTGCCATCAACCCGGAACCCTAGAAGCTGACTCTAAGATTAGCGACGAGCTGAACAGAAGTACAGGACCCAACATAGACCTCGTATTCAAAATTGCCTGTTGGGCTCATCCTAGGACAAAACATGACAAAATGAAGGAGGGCCAGTGAAAGGGTCTGGAGCTTCGGTCGTGGGGACTTCGGAATTGGAGCCCAACTAGTTTCAGCTCTGCGGGGAAGAATTTCCGAGCTCTGGGCAAGTCTTCCTGAAACTCGATATCCCGTAACTTTGTAGTTCCTGTTTCTTTTCAAACAGCTGCAATTCAAGAGCCTCGAGCGCCAAGGGTTATGAGCTAAAAAGTTGGGACTTCGGAAGCTCACCACGCTGAGCGCATCGCACGGCGTCTCTTCCGCTCCTACCGACGCAGATGAGCGGCAAATGCTTCATAGGTTGGACAAGAGACTAACAACAAGAATCGTGCACCAGCCAGACGGTGTCTGAATGTGCGCGTGTTGCTTCTGTCCGTATATGCTCCATACTGATGAACCATTACGCTCAGAAGAGCTCTGCTATTACTGTTCGGCGCACAAAGTCATGCATGTCAGCACTGGCGTTCCAATGCTGTTGGTGCGATCTTGGCCAGAACACTCTTGCACGTGGCTTGGGGTGCGCCCTTCAACATGCAGTCCAAAACCGAAATGACCGTAAAAAGGCACCCAAAAACACTAAGCCCAAAGCGCATCTTGCTCAGAATCTGGGGGACTCTTCGAAGCCCGCGGTCCTAAAGGGAAACCCTGAACCCGAGGCTGGACAGGTAGCTGCAGCAAGTAATGGAGACGAAGGTGATATCTGCGATGATGATGGTGATGATTCTGCTGCTGGTCCTTGTGTCAATACCGGTGGCGAATGCTGGTCGAAATGATGACAGTCATGAGGAATGTACGAAGGCTCAGGGTTGCTGCAGTCCTGCCAGCCAGTTCGCGTCGAAGTCGATGTCTCTACCCGTGGCCGCGATAATCTTTTCGCAGAAGTGCTGATAGCACGCGGGCCTTGCTGCTTCCAAGGGTTGAGGTTCAAGTTGTCTTTCAATGTGGGGCGAGCCGTCGGACAAGCTTACAAGTGTTTTGCCATGAGAAGATGCTGAGCCCTATACCCTGACAGATATAATTAGATATAACGAGGGCATGCAGGACCTCATCACCGACCGGTAGCCGCAATAACGGAGGAATTTCCACCCGAACCGACCTACATGCGCAGTCTAGAACACCACCGTTCCCCATAAAGTTCATAGTTATCCGGAGCAATCCATTACGTAAAAACCTAGGTATGAAGACCTGACAGTCCCCGAGCCTGAATCCTGAATTCCACGCCCTAGGAAGCTGGGTACTCATGCTTCGCTCATGCCTCTGATGCCATGAATTTTATCACACATCTATAGGCTTTGGATTCAGCAGGAGCTTGCTTCCGGGGTTATAAGCTTCTCAACGCTTCGGGACTGGCGCTAGGAGTGCTGAGAAGCTTTCAGAGCCGAACTTTCGACATTGCTGTGTACAAGGCGTGAAATGTGTGTGCGTGTGTGTGTGTGTGTGCGTGTGTGTGTGTGCGTGTGTGTGTGTGTGTCCTGGTAGGCCCTGCCCGGTCTGCAGCTGTACGGGTGTAAAGTTCTGTTTTTCTGTGAATCCGAGTTTCTGGAACCCTGACCGAAATATTCCACTGAAGCCTGAAATCAAACATATCGGACCCCTCCCAAGATTGTACACTAAACCCCCTAAACCCTATAAACCCTGAACCCTGTACCCTGAACCCTGAGCCAGTGGCACATAAAGCTCTTCGGCTCCGAGGCAAACGGTGGGCCCTGTCAAGGTAGCCTTGCCATCGACGCCTCGGGCAAAGCTGCGAGACCTTGTAAGTCTAGGGTTTAGGGTTTTGGCGATCCGCCTAACCCGACTTGAAGAGTTTGGAATTCAAAGGCTTGCAGCTCTGTTCGGATAATTCATGATACGCTCTATTACGGATCCGCAGTGTGATGTCCGTGCACTCGATAGGTATGGCTTCGAAGCGTCCCAAAAAATGATGCCGAATCAGGTGGCTCGCCTTAACAGGAAAGCAAGTATTTTGTCTTACCTTTGAAAATACAGCCCAGGTAAAATCGACAACAAAGCTATACCAGGTACATAGAGCACACATATGTGCATATATACAGATACGCATGAAGACACACATAACTCAATTCCGCAAACTTAAACAGCCTGTTTTTGCTCTGCGTAATGTACGGCATGCGACACTGTTACAACTATTGTCCTGAGCCAGAGCCATAAAGATGCTCAGCATTCGACCCTGAACTTTGAAAGACACAACATCTTTCTTTCAGCCTGCACAGGCAGCCCTAAACAGAAAAACAGAGGGCTCCGAAGTGATCCATGAAATCCCAACTGTGTAGGGGGCCTGTGTCATGACAAATTGTGGGCTCTCACGGCTAGCACAAAGCTCAGGGCTTAGTGCTTGCACTGGTGGATCAATGAAGGAGTGATATGGGAAAAGCCAAGTGGTTCACACGGCATAATACAGGTCTGAAGCTTATTCAAGATATAAACTGGCAGTACCTACCATGGCCATCTTTTCGTATACCCCGAAACACTCTTTCAATTACGTATACTAAAACCCTGTACGAACGAAACCAGCTGAAAACCTTACGAGGCCTTAACCCCAAAACCCTAGTCTGATGAAGACCCCCAGTTCAGGAAGGAGCTCTTGTCTGAGCCCCAGGCTTTTCAGGTTCATGATGGCTTTCCTGGGATGTTGATTTCGGAGTTTTGAGGGGTATAAGTTGTGTCTATACATGTGTATGCATATAAATATGGGCGTGTATGTGTATGTGTGTATGTATGTACGTATGTACGTATGTATGTATGTATGTATGTATGTATGTATGCACGCATGCATGCATGTATGCATGTATGCACGCATGCATGTATGCATGCATGCATGTATGCATGTAATCATGTATGCATGTATCCATGTATGGCTGTAGGCATATATGCATGCATGGATGTATATTATGTATGTATGCATGTATGTATGTCTGTGTCTATCCATGTGTATATAAAGAAATATTGTGCGTATGTGTGTGTGTGTGTGCATATATATATATATATGTATGTGGATATGCGTCATGAGTGTATACATACATATATACACACGTGGGATTTGGTGCCGAGGGTTGAGAGCTTTTAACTGCAGGGGTCAGGGTTAAACTGGCTTGTAGGGCTTAGGGAAGGGCGACATATCGGAAGTGCTGAGTGCGGCAGAACTCTCTCGTCCTCGTTCAAACTGCAGTTTAGGGGCCTGCTGCAGTAGGTGCAGGTCGTCTTGACCTGCACCACAGCTGTGCACTCCTGGTACACTTGAAACCCAGAACTGTACCTTAAGGATTTGGGGTTTGGGTCTGGGATACAGGGTTTGGGGTTGCAGACGACGGAGCCTGAACGCGGGAGACATCCGGCCTCTTCGATGGAGTCTGCCAGCTCCATCAGTCGTTGGGAGCCGGGAAACAGACGGGAGCGGAAGTCCGTTCCTTCCCAGCTCAAGGGTTTACTTCAGGCTGTTCAAGGCGGTTTTAGATCACATCTAATTAGGCAGGGGGGCCCATTAGGGTATGCGCGCAGGGTCAAGGGTGTTCCCGGTGTCAGAGTCTACTCTGCAAGCTTGTTCTTTTGTTGAACCACCGTGCTTCCAAAGCGAGCAATGCATGCTGCAGTGTCAACGAAACGTCTTGAGAAGGATCAGATGGGAATCAACTACACCTAAAACACATGGGAATGAAACACGAGATAATGCAGCGGACACGGCACGTGACATAGAAATACAGTGTTTGGGGATGTTGTTCGGAAATGGGAGAGAGTGCATGATCACAGGTCGTACTGGTAGCACCAATATCATGTCGCGCTTCATGTAGCTGTTCAGCTATTTACGTGGGTTTGGGTGTAGACCTGGGCAGGATTCACTATCGGGCGCTTCATTTATAGTTGGAAACGGATTTGGACCGATCTACTCGAAACCGCATGCCTGAAGCAAAATGTTGTGAGAAGCTCGTGATGATGCCTTGCAGGGCATGGCCTGGCAAAAGCAAGGTTGTAGAGGTCTCAGGCGCGTACAGTCCTTGGACCCCCTGATTTATAATGTCCCGTACGTACTATGCCATATACGGTCAAGTGCAAGAGTAACGCTCACCCAAAGCACCACCTGCCAACTCCCAGGCTGAACGCTGAGAATCATGTAGATTACAGAGTGGAAAGACGCAAGTGCCTAAAGTTCAACGTGCAGCCTAACCCAGGAGCCCCAAATCCCGAACAGTCAACGCCGCACGCCTTAATCCACAAGATAACCATCCCTGAACTCCTGGAGCCGTTACTACGTGACTGTTGGGCTCCAAGAGTCGAAGGCCGAAGCACATGACCGGCACGCCTGGCGAGGCGGGGCGACTACAGGTATCCTCCGCCCTCCCGTTTGCCTACGACACTGTCACAAAAAGATTCAATCGGGAACCTATGCAGAGAAATTAGGGAGTTCGTGTCGCTTCGTGTATCAGTGTCCCTCTCAACCGCATCCACCAGTGCCCGGCCACATCGCAGAATCACCAAGATCTTTAGGCGCGCAAGCCCGAAACTCTAAACCCCTTCCGAATGCAGCACCAGAAGTTGTCTCCGAGGACAGGACAGAACCTCCTGCGCCCGCAGCGCAGCTATGGCCCAAAAGAAACCAAGTTCCTGTACCACAACTCCTGCAACAGCCCCTAAGCGCAGCCAATCCAACTTTTTTCGCAAGCCCATGAAATTCCCTGTCTTCGCCGCGCGTCTCAGGAAGCCGATGGCCCAAAGACCCGACAGCACTCTGACACCTCACGCCGCCCCAAGTTCAACCTCGAAGTCTGAATATAACGCCAGCTATAGAATCTATACATCCCTGACAACAACCATGGAATCCTGGCATCCTCTCAGGCTCCGGACCTTGGGTCGTCGCAACCTGTCGAAGCCGCTCCACCACGCAAGGCTCCAAAAATTGCGCCTGCCGCAAAAAAGCCACACGCAACTAAAACCAACAACGCCCCAAGTGCCGGTGTAGGGCTTGGTTTAGGATGTGCATCAAGTTTTCGGGTGGAGGATCTCGGTTCTGTAGAGCTTCGGACATGCAGTGCATAGGGAGTGCCAAGGATCTCGGTTCTTGAAATGATCGTGGCTCACAATGTGTTCATTTCGGACTTGCGGGCATGTTTAAACGTGCTTCGGGTGCTTCGGGCTGAAAGTAGACGATTTCGGACCGTGCACATTTTTACGGCTTGGACGCAGGCTTTGCTATGGCGATTTGATCTTGGGGTGTGGTGGCGGACTGGAAGAACTCAAGGCGTGTTCTGTGTTCGGGGGGGTCGAAACTGGAGGTGAGAAGGCATCTGAAGTTTTGGGCATTCGCTGTTTCATTTCCTTCAATATCCACTTCAGATTTGTCATTCGGGTCTGTGGTGCCGGGTTTAGGTTCAGCGCAAAGGGGTGAAGAAAAAGCATGCACATACTTTGACATGGCCTCTCCGCAGCTCCTACACAGAAAAACCACTGGCCCCCGACCTCGTCCACGAGCACGCAGCTCACCTTACAGATGAATAAGCTCGCTTGCCCGGGATCGAAGGCAGAAACTAGAAAGCTCTGTGCCCAACACCCGACGACCTAAGCCGCCTGCAGGAAACGCGGCTGAGAAGATGCACTCGGACCCCTGTGGCCCACTTTTGTGAAGAAGAGCCCTGAAGGGCATAACACACACTCACACACGACAGCGAACTCAAATCCTTGATTGCGAAAGGTGCCGAAATCAACCAATAACCGCCTAAAAGTGCAAACAAGCCTCTGAAGCCCAAACCCAGAACCCTTAAACTAAACCAAATGGCTCGAAATTGGTGGATAGTTCTCGCACAAAGTACAACTCAACAGGGTTTTGAAGGTCTTACAGGGTCTGTCTGCAACCTCAATAATTGTAGCATGTTCCATAATCGCCTGAAACCCAACTGAGACACCAACGCCCAAGCCCGGGAACTCCTTCTTCTTCAACATGGGGCTCTCGACGTGCTAAGCGGAGGCCTGAAGTTCAGGAAAGAGTTGTCCTTAATTTAGGCCCTTTAAGGCTTTAGGGGAGCCCTTTTAAGGTTTTAGGGCGCCTTCGATTTCAACTGCCCCAAGAAGCTGGAGAAGCGCTTTAGATGTTCAAGTACAGGCCGAGGGACTCCCAGGAACTGCTCCGAAGAGAAGGCCGACTCCCCGGTAAGGAGCACGTCAGCCTGCGGAGTGAGTTTCCTTTCTTCGCCCAGTAGATTTTTTTTTGGTTTCTAGGCTTTCTAGGTCCGAGTTCTTCAGCACCGCATGGCTCCAGAGTGGCCCTGATTGAGAAACAAAAAAATTAGATACTAGTTCTGTAGCGGATAAGGTTACCAACTATAATAATTTGATTGGCCTAGATTACATAACAGGCCTCACGCTCCAATCCAGCACGGCTCGTCACGAGGCCGACCCCGAAGCGAGTGTCCAGCTTCGGTTTCATGACGAGCACCTCCCCCCGACACGGGAGTTAAACTGTTGCATTTGGGCATGTGAGTGGCCTTGGTAACTAGGATAGGGTTTTGAGGATAGGCTCCGTGTATGCACGTAGAAGAGTCGTATACCAATTTCTGGCAGAACTCAAAGGCAGCTTTGAACGCAAGGCCTTGGCTGTCAAACTCTCCCACACTTCCGGTCAAGTCACAGGGCAAGTAGGGTTTAGGGCATAGGGAAAGAATGTTCACAACCAACACATGCAGGAGCCTGCGTATCAACAACTGCCCGCATTACGAAAGTAAAATGTGCCCACAGCCCAACTCAGCTCTCGGTAAGACCACCTGCCGCGCCCTGTCCTGCCCCAAACCCTCTAGCCCAAGAACCAAATCAGAAAACAGAAACCCAATGCCAATGTTGAAACCGGAGTAAGCTTAGTTGTGGCAGCTTCTCGCTTTGGATTCAGGATCCAAGCTAAAGCCTATGCCCAGGGATTAGGAACTCATCGACTCGATCTTATCTGTTACTCAACGGCGAGCTCGTCACAGTGTACACAGTTCATGGCTTGGGGCCCTACGTCTTTGTGCTTCAGCATTGAACTCTTGAGGTCGTTGCATGCATATTCAGGGTTTCAAGAGGAGAAGAACGGTTTCGAGGTTTCACAGATGGGCCCAGGGTCGGACCAGGCCGAAACTCCTCAACCCTGGAGCCTGGGCTACATACCAAAAAAAGATGGAACTCTCTCCGGCGGTAGGATCTCTCTACTCGAATCCTGCGGAGGCGCTTCTTGTCGTAGGATCGGCAAGGTTTAGATGCAGATTGTCAAGGACCTGGGGGCTTTAACGTCTGAATGATGTCGGATGCTGAAGTTGAACACCGCAGGTCTGGGCCTAGGGTCGAGGGAGGAAGGCTTAGCAGGTGAACCAAAGCCCTACCCTACCCGTGAATCAGTCCCAGAACGGTGCTCGATCCTGGCCTTCTTTGACTGCCTTGGTGGGCGAAGAAGACGGACAACACCCGAAGAAACCAACGAAGGTATGATTCCAAAGGCAAAAAAAGAGTAAGCTTGGTAAACCCATACACCCTAAACCCGTAAAAATACCAAGGCCCGCATCCGAACTGGTGATAAGGTAGCACTCCGACAAAATTGGCTTCCAAGCTGGCTGTTTGGGCTTCGTGCAGGACTGCTTAAAGTTTACAGGTTTCGGATTGCAGTTTCGGGTGTAAGGATCTCCGTCGATCTGAGGGGCTGCAAGGGCAAGGAGTCAAGGGGCAGTATAGTTAGGGATTCATCAGGGTTTCAGTCTGAACCCCCGACGGACACCCCCCCTCCCCCTCAGACAGTAAGAGCCCATGCAACAACATCACAAATCCGAACAGCGGTCGGCCTGCAGAAACTTGAGACTTCATGAAAGGCTTAGAGGGCCCATGAGGTCAAGTCAAGGCAAAAGGCTGTTGGATTCGAGCCTCTGCCCCCAGCATTCACCCCTAAACTCGACACCCTCGGGGCCAGCCCCATGGCTCTAAACTTAGGCACAAGTACCCGTAGTGAAACAGTACATGCAATGCGCAAAAAAAACACCGCGAACAGCCGTTTCTAACTCTTCACCGTGGGCCCTCAACCATGTCGACCCTTGACATCCCTCGACTACAAAGCCGTGCTCTATCAGTATACTATTGGTGGACCCTTCGGTCTGTTCCGGCCGAAGGGACATCTCGTAGGAGTGGGCGATTGCGAGGAGGTTCAGGGTTTTTGCAGAGCCCATGGCGCCATGCCGGAAATAGAGCTTGGCCTCAGTGTGGAAGCTTTAATTTTATTTGCATCCGACGGCCCAGAATATGGGCCAGAGTCCAATCAGGCAGAAGCACCAGAAATCACTCGAACGAGTCCTATGTGGGCTCCGGGGTGAGGGCTTCAGCGCCCTCAACAAAAGGCCAAAGGCTCAGCTTGAGGTTTCTCAGTGTCTGCTGGTTGTCAAAAATTGAAATACAGCTATGCTCAGATGTGAATCCAGGGAACTCCAGTTTAAGCTTTGGGCAGACCGCGGCTTATCCGAGGCTTTGGGCCCAGGGTTGAAGGTCCTGCGAACTCACTTGTTGAGGCTTTGTGCGGAAGTTTTTCGAAATTATGAATACAGCTACGATTCTAATTCCCAACTGGAGCCGTCCTTTATCAATTTGTTGGGCGCATCTGCATTGTTCGGGCTTCAGCATGATGTTCGATGTCTCTTCCTTCCCGCTGCAGTCTTGACCCAGGTGTCGCACAAAAGTCGATGCCGAACAATGCAACTTGGAAGTTGCATCCTAAGCAGTATGCTCCACGACACCAGCCAAATTTGGTTGCGTTCCCGGAAGCTGAGTGCTAGGCCATGGTTAGGCAGGAGCGGCAGCAGCAGCTCTGATGCTTGGGAGCCGAGACCGAGGCCGAGAGTCAAGCCCCACAACGATCTTGTCTCACCCGAAAAAGCTGGTGAGGTCGCATCAAGGATTTAGGGTTTAATTCGGATCTTGGGGTTGAGCTCTCGGGTTCCACGCGTGGGCCCTGCCAGAAATTCAGCAGATTTGGCGCTTCGCTTTCATGTTGCGTTGGTCTGGCTCTTTTTGAGCTCTTTGAACGGCGTGTTGGGTTTCGGGGGTGAAAGTTCCTCACTCGAAATCTCAAAGTCTCCATCGAAAACGTGTGGCCTCAAAGCCTCAATTCGCACACGAAGATACTATCAAGGGCTGAGATTTTGGAGGTCGCAGTGAATTGCTGGCCATCAACTCAACCCAAAACTCTAAACTTAAGTCTCAAATCTCGCAACACTAAGACTCAAAGCTGCCTCGAATTAGGACTCGACGGCTCTCTCTAGCTTGACATTCAGGAGCCACTGACCACAGTGTTGGTCGAAG